AAGTGTTCTCTAGCACAAAGCTACTTACATTGTGAGTGCTCACTGATGCACAGAGAAAAGACATGAAAAATGTTTGTGGCAAATAAAATAACTGCATGGTAATTCTATGAAAAAAGGCATTCTACAATTAAGTTCCATTTACTTCATCAATCTTAATTCTGAAGTGAGTTTCACTTGATAGACTGGGGAGTTCTAAATTTATTAAGGTTAAAATGTACATTACATTATTGTAGAATTTATTTGGGAACACTAGAATATGTATTTTAGTTTTAATAATTAACATAACTTCCTTTTTGTGTGGTTTGACCATAATTACACTGAATTCAATTGTGGTTTGTAGAGTCAGATCACTGCTTTATGAAATGGTGCTACTGTCTTGCTGTTAGAACAAATATATACACAGTCCAAAGTGGGAATTTTGCTGAAACTTTTGTACTTTCCCCCTCATTTAGCAATGACTTGCAGTGGTAAACGAAGATGAGCTTCAGGTGAAAACTGCATCTAAAATGGGGCCGGAGCAACAGTACAGCTGATAGGGTATTTGCCTCCCATGAGTACCACCAGGATTAATTCCTGAGTGCAACACCAGGAGTAAGCCCCGAACATTGCTGGATGTGGTCCCAAAACAACAACAACAAGCAAACAAACAAACAAAAAATAGAAAATTGCAACTGAAAAAAGGGAAACTAGTGAAATCAAAGAGGGCTTATTTCTAAGATTGGCTATGATATGAGAATTCCAGTGAGTTTAATGTTCAGTTTAGGTGGTGCTTCAAAATTATTTTTGCCTATTTTAAAAAATAGAATCCACTACCAGCAATACTTGGTCCAGTGGTGCAAGCCTGATGGTTTGGGTCTTGGCTTGGCAGTGCCACAGCCAGAGTTTACCAGGGCTACGTGCAGCAGTGCAGGGGGTGGGGTGGGGGAGGCACATGTGCTAGGGATCAAACTTAAGTGCACAAGCACACGTGGTTGGCATGTGCTCAACCACTTGAGTTAATTTCTCGGCCCTAACATATGCAAACATGTTTCATTTTATACCTGAAATTTAGCCAACATCAAGAGGGAAATGGTATAATTCGATTTTCAAGGTTTACCTTTAGTGCTGAATCTTGTAGCTTGAAGATACTTTAACAATTAATCCTTGAACTAAACCAAACATCCTTTAGATATGGACTCTTCTACTGAATGCAGTTATTTCAGTAACATTCTCTTAGTTACTAAATGCTTGCAACTTGAAGTAATTTTTGTTACTCCTTTCTCAAACTGTGATTCCAAATAGCCAAATAGCCGCTTGTGTACGTATTTAATTTCCTTCTCTAGAATACAAATATCTTGAAAAGGAAGTTGAGGAAAAAAACCCCAAAGGCACTTAGAAGTGTGTAATATATAGTTAAGTGGTCAGTAAGCATTCACTGAGTGACTGTTAATTATAACAGAAGACAGGGTTATCATTAATGTGTAGGTAGGGATTTAAATGTTTAAAATAATTATAAACAGGTAACTGAAGGAAGTCTTGCATGATGTTTAGTTTCTATTTGATTGTTCTTTCCTGTAATCTAAGTACATTGTTATTCTACTGTTCTATTCATAACTTCCAAGGCCTGTCTGGGCCTGTTGCAAAAAATAATGCTAGGAGATGGTTCAAAGCCTCATCACTAATGTGTTTCACCAATTCAAAGGGCAATGGAACAGTAAGTATCCCGGAAAGTGAATTAATGAAAGAACTATTAAACACCCACTTTAATGTTGTAAATGCAAACACTGACCATTTGAAAAGGAAAGATTTGCATATGTGCGGATATTTATGTTGCTTTTGGTTTTGTAGCAATTTTTATTTTTAGTAACGTATGAGTGGTTGTCCTGATTTCAATTTTGTCACTTGTAAGAAATTTAGAAAGGAATCAGAGCTGTAGGCATTGGAAGTGTCCTGGCCCTCTGATGCTCTTAGAGGCAGCTCTGCCCCACCAGCTGTCAGTTTGTGACTAAGGCAATGGATTTGGGAAAAGACCCCCAACTGTCGTATACACCCGTAGGCTCTACTTGAGGGAGGAGGAGGATAGTTCCAGGCTCTTTTTTTGTGCCCACAGTGGCTTCAGGAGAGGGATTGGGATTGGAGGGGTGGGTGGGGGTGGTTAGCTGGAATTCCATTCCAGAATAGGATTACTACTATGTAGGCAGACCAATCACTGTGCAGCTTGGATTTTTCTTTCTTAACTAATAATGTGGAGGAAATTCTAAATATACCCAATTCTTTTCCTTTTTTGAATCTTACTATCACAAGTGCTTGGTTACAGAAATCTAGGACTCAGAACAATGGTAGCATGGGCTTCAATTCAGCTCTAATGTAAAACTCTCTAAAATTCACTAATCTCCATTTTTTGAGTTTTAAATAGAATCGAACTAACCTTACTAAATTGTGTCAGTGTTTTATAATCAGCCCTCCATTGCCATAATTATTATATTACCATTTCTTAGAACACTCTTAAGCAAAAAAAAAAAAAAAGAATGTAATGTAACTTACTTAGTTAAGTGGAAGTAACTATTGAAAGTCCCAAGAGAGATAGCTAAGGAATTTGTCAAAACCCTCTGCTTGGTCATTATCTAATTCAACTATTTATTATGGAATGACACCATATTATTATTATTACTAAAGATATAGATAACAGCTATCCCCAAAGATAGAACATACTGGATAGCAAAATCAGAGTCAAAGATATCTTGATTCTCTATAGTAATGGTCTGTGTAATATAATGAAACATTTGCAATGCATGTGCTGTACTGCTTGGGTCATGTCCTGGCATGACCTGGCATATGTAATCTTTGGTGTAATCTTTACTTCACCATTTACAACATTTTCACTGGATAAGAATGTAACTTACTGTGCTGAAGTGATAGCACAGCGGGTAGGGCGTTTGCCTTGCATATGGCTGACGTGGGTTCGATTCCCAGTTTCATAGTTGTTCATAATTGGGTTTCAGCCATATAATGTTCCAACACTCATAGTTCACCAGTGTATATTTCCCACCACTAAAGTCCCCAGATTTTTTTTACTAGGTACAATTTTAAAGATGAGGGGGTTGAGAAATTCCAATTTTTCTAGGATTTTCTCCTGGTTTGAAAATGTAAATGGGTTGAAAACCACAGGTTAACCCAGTGATCACTATGGACAAGTGCTCAGACAGGTGCCAGTCCTGAGAGAGAGAGAGAGAGAGAGAGAGAGAGAGAGAGAGAGAGAGAGAGAGAAAGGAGAGAGAACATACAGAGAATTAAGGATGTGGATTTGGTACCTCAGAGGGAGAAAGGACTAACTGTATTTGGAATTTCCAAAAAATGAAATGGGTTTCCTTGTAGGAGAAAGAATTCTTTCTCACTGAGAAGAACCTGAATGACCAATTATCGTGTATATTGAAGACTTACATGTCAGGTGTGGATTCTTAAAATTTAGTAGGTATAAGAATTTCCTGGAGAACTTGTTCAATACTGATTGATGACCTTACTCTGTAGAAATTTTGATTTAGTAGATGAAGGATAAGGCCTAAGAATCTTAATTTTAGTGTTGGCAGTGGGCCTTCCACTCAGAGACAGTGAGCCTAATTAAACTCTGGTGTGTTTTATACTTACTTTACAAATAAGCATTTTAGTAAAAAAAAAAAAAGTATCTAGTCAACATAATAACTATGCAAGAGAAGATTGTCTTAAGTTTGATCAAAGAACCAAGACAAAATTCCGCAATATGTTGACAATATAATTACAGGTGAAATCACTGGAAATGAGAATATTAAGATATGGAAGGAGAAGGTTTGATTCTCAGTTGCTGACATGAATTGAAGCTATTAACCTTATTTGGCCTGCCACCCTCTTTTCAGAAAAAAACATCAACTCCCCCCCCCACCCCGCCCCAATGAAAATCTACTTCTTTAAAAACACAGAAAGTACCTTAAGACTCTTGTAACCCCCACTCTTACTATAATTTCACTGTGTCCCAGGAGGCAGACTTAAATACCTTGCACTCAAAAGACATGAGTTTGGTAGCAAAATAAAATTTATACCAGTTTGAAATTTTTGTTTTGTTTTGTTTTGGGGGTCATGCCAGGTGACTATGTTGTACCAGGAAACAAGCTGGGGTACCTGCACTTTGAGCCATCTCTTTAAGTCCAGTTTGAAAATCTTTAAATGCTCTATGTAGAGAATTCACTCCCCATATACCAATGGGCAATCTGATGAATGATGTGGAAAAAGCTGTCTGATTATCCTAAATAACAGCATCTGTGTAAAGTTAAACATCCATCAGGCTTTGGGACCTGGCCTAATATAAATTTAGCCTCACAGCCTCAGAGAAGGCGTGGGTGAAAGTGTCTCCTAACTCAGGTCTGCATTTTGTTGGTGTGAAAGAGCTGGCAAGTATAATATATGTTTGATTACTCTTAATCTCTGCTTAAAGTGTGCAAGCGGAGAGCCAAATTTTTAGAATTACTGTATCCTAAAACTGTTCTTGCTCTCTGTAAATGTGTTTATAAAGAGTGATTCTTGGTGTAATTTACTGTCCCTTCTTAGGAATTTTTTGGTTTGATTTTTAAGTTTTTAAGTAGTTAAAAACCAACTATTTTGAAGACTTGGTATTTTGGCTCTTTTTTTCTTTTCTTTTTTTTCTTCTTCTTTTTATTTTTGGTCACACCAGTGATGCACAGGGCTTACTCCTGGATCTGAGCTCAGGAATTGCTCCTGGCCGTGCTCAGGGGCCCATATGGGATACTGGGAATCAAACCCGGTTCGGCTGCGTGCAAGGCAGACATGCAAGGGAAACGCCCTACCCGCTGTGCTATCACTCCAGCCCATTCTTGGCTCTTTTGTTGATCTCCTGATATACTTATCAGATCCTTAAAGATTAATAAATGACTTTAAAAAATTTTGATACACAAAATATAAATGGCAGTTTGATAAATTTAGCTGATTTTTAAAAAAAAATTAATTTCTTTTTGTTTCCTTGTAGTTGAATCATGAGAGATGAAATTGCAACAACAGTTTTCTTTTTCACAAGACTGGCAAAAAAACACGATAAACTGAGTAAACAGCAAATTGAAGATTTTGCAGAAAAGCTAACGACAATTTTGTTTGAAACATATAAAAGTCACTGGCACTCTGATTGCCCTTCTAAAGGTCAAGCCTTCAGGTGAGAACTAGTCTGCAATGTGGTAAAAGGAAGCACCAAACAAGCAAAGATCACTTGCATTGATTTTGTTGGCAATGTGGAAGAAGCCAACATTTTTTGGAAGGTCTCTTTTCCTTAATAGAGCGCTTGAGATAAAGGGATGTGGTAGGTGAGAGCATAGTTGAATGCCACAGAAACCCCCTCTTATGTGATGTACATGAAACAGTTTCCAATTTGTGTTTACTGTGCAATATATACAGTGAACATCAGGTGGACTATTTATATGACTTAGTAATGCATCATGTTCTGAGTCACTGTGTAAGAAGTCCATAGTTTAGTCTTGTGAAACTGTGGCGGGGAGGGAATGGTGAGATTGATGTGGGAACTGTGTAAACTAGAGCAGTATGCCCACAGCACGAGTATCTAGCTACAGGTCCTGCCCTCATGTCTTTGTTGCCCTTTCCTTGTTATTTTTTTTTAAAGGTGTATCAGGATAAACAATAACCAGAATAAAGATCCCATTCTAGAAAAGGCTTGTGCTGAAAGTAATGTGGATTTTTCTCACCTGGGACTTCCAAAGGAGATGACCATATGGGTAGATCCCTTTGAAGTGTGCTGTAGGTGAGTCATCTCATTACAGCTAGAGTGTGCCCTGTGACCCCTAGAAATTGAAGGTGATTTGTCAACAATTTATTGTGAACCTCTTTGTGAAAGAAGGTGCTCTAAACCCTTGGGTTAGCAGAGGTTAAGATTTCGGGTGCACGTTTTATAAGACAATACTCACTTCCATTAGTGGACGAAATGCTCTTTCAAATTGTTCTTTCAACTACCTTTTTGTAAGTCAGCGAGTTGAATTTAGAAAAGAGTTGATTTTAGAGATAAAATGTGGAGAAGTTGAATTTCTAATGAATACCTTTATTTTCCTTTTCTCTCTAGATATGGTGAGAGAAACCATCCGTTTACAATTGCTTCCTTTAAAGGCAGATGGGAGGAATGGAAACTATCCCAACAAATCAGTCATGCTGTGAGTAGAGCTGCCTTAGACTACTCCTCAGGCACTTCCTCTGATGAAGAAAGTTGTAACAACGAACCACAGCTAATTCCTAAAGTCAGAAATCCAAAGAGTGTTTATCAGGTAAAGTGATCTTGTTCTTCATACTTACTTCTTCTTCAGATCCTAATTCTAAAAATTTGCATAATTGTTCTGTCATCTGGGATGTTTAAAATGGATCTTTCTCAACCAGCCTTAGATAATGATAATTCTGGTTGGTAATGGGATTTAATCTTTAAGAAATAGAATGAATGTGCTCTTAAAATATTTTAGTTGAATTAAAGAATTTATTTTTAAATGTAGTAACTTTATAATGCTAACCAAAGTGCTAATTTTAAAATTATGATTATTTATTTTGATTTCTGTCCATTTATACTTCTCAGCTTCTGTAGTATAGGCTTTACTTTTAAACTTTGGGTTTGTATTGGTCCTCAGCGTTAGTGTTTTCATGAAGAAATTTACATACTATTCCCTTTTCCCTTTTTTTCTTCCCCAGGTTGAAAATTTGAAACAGCCCTTTCAGCCTTGGTTCCAAATCCCCTGCAAAATGAATGGTCATGTGGGCCTCTTAGAAAGTAATTACTATAGGTTGCATAGGAACCCTAAATGTTATAGACCTGTTGCACTACACAGGGTGGACAGATACCACTGGGTCAACCAAAATCGAAAAAGAAGTGACTGTATGTTTAGTAGAAAGAGCTCAGAGGAGACTATATATTTCTAAAACAAAAATCAATCCAAGATTGAGAAGTCTTGAAAGAAAAAATATCCATCTCCTTAGGGATGAGGGTTTGAGACAGTAAATGATGATGCTTTTAGCTGTATTTCTAATTATTTTAAAATATTGTATGATTTTTATTAAATACTAATGAATGTACTTGATAAACTAATAGAATGAAGATAATGACCTATGATAAGATTTAATGAAGTATGAAAAGTTTAAATAAATATACTGTTTTTAAATACATTTCTAGTTAAATTTGCTGTAAGTTTTAAAAGTTCATGTTTCTTCATTATCTATTGAACAGTAGATAAACATTAAGGGTTAAACTGATGCTTATTATATTCTGCTTTCTTCTTGTACTTAAAGACAAAAGCTAATTTAAAAATTACTCTTTCAACAAAATTTCTTTGTATGTCTTTTGATAAATTTTGTTTTTTAGCTGAACCTTTTATAGAATTGCTAATTATGTCCTTCTGGGGGAGATGGATCACGCTGTAATGTGCAGAGTTTACTTATAGCTCTGCACTCAGAGATCACTCCTGGCGGTGCTAGAGGGACCATAGGGGTGCAGGGGATCAAACTTAGATTGGCTGTATGCAAGGCATGTGTCCTACTTGTTGTACTCGCCAGCCCAGGGTTCTCTTTATTATTTTTAAGTATTATTTTGGTTTTGGTGATCGATGATCAACGGGAGGGCCTTTACCTTTTTATTTTGGTTTTGGGGCCATACCTGGTGATGCCCAGGGCTCTGTACTTGGGGATCACTCCTGGTAGGGCTGGGGAAACCATATGAGGTTTATAAGTAAAAAGTGCTCATTATAAACAATTCAAATTAAGCAGAAAAAGATACCATGATGAAAAATCCCAACATCTAATTAAAGGTAAAGGTAAAGGCCCTCCCGTTGTTCGTCGATTTGCTTGGGCGGGCCCAGTAATGTCTCCATTGGAGAGTTTGTTGTTACTGTGTCTGGCATATCGAATACGTCACGGGGAGCTTGCCAGGCTCTGCCCTGCGGGCGAGATACTCTCGGGAGCTTGCCGGGCTCTCCGAGAGGGGCAGAGGAATCGAACTCGGGTCGGCCATGTTGGCTGCGTGCAAGGCAAACGCCCTACCGCTGTGCTATCGCTTATTGTTAACACAAACCTTTCCAGTTATCCTAAATGCATATACATATGTAAGAACTTCTATGCAGTCTAACAAAGGCATACTACATAAACTATTTATTAAATGTTTGTTTTTAATTGATACTGACCATTATGTTTTTTACATTTAATTAGGTGAAATATATTTAAATTTTTCTACCACAACATATTTTATGTACTGAAAGATTTCCCTAGGGTAAAATGAGGCTGGAACTATTCTTAATGCCCCCCCACCCCAATTCTGAAAAATATTGATTATTGCCCATACAGACTTTAGAACTTTATCTTAATATTTTCCTTCTATTTCCTATGCTATTACTATTGTCATGATATATCATTTATAATCTGTCCTGAGTCAATTGTTCCTGTAGTACTTTTGTCTTAGTTTTATATTTGAATTGAATGCTCATCAATTACTTTGTGTAAATGTAAAAATCTATTTGCTACATGTTTGATTAGTTGACTATTTTTAAAGCCACTTCTTCCCAAATGGCTCATAGGGGTTATATTCTGAGTTTGTGCATAAGCATCTCTCTTTGTATACTTGAAAGAAAGCTTGGCTTAATGCTAACAGTTTAGGTTAATCTCTTATACTTTATAGATCTCACACTAATCTAATGTCTGGCATTATACATTACTATGGAGAAATCTGAGACTAGATTGATTTCCCTAAGTCCCTGCCACTTGCATAGATGTGTGGACTTACTTTTATAGGTAGCTTCTTTGTCAGTATGAAAAATGTGAGGTATATGTCTTAGTCAATTATTCTGATTAATTTTTTTCCTAAAAATCAACAATTTTAGAAATACCAATGCTCTTTATCTTGTATAAATGTAAAAATCATCTTATTTCTGATAATTGCTACTAATCTGATTGCTTTAATATAAAAAAATGCCATGATTGACTTAAGACTTCTGTTAGTTTAACTCTCAGCCCTGTCAGGTCTTTGTTTCTACAATATTTATTAATTTCACAGTGAAGTTATTTTGAATTTCAGTTAGTGAATTTTTCTGTAGGTGTTATTCCTCTGTAATAGTTGTTGGACTGGAAAATGGATAAAGAATATTGGTCTATAGTTTTTTTTTTTGGTTTTGATATCAAGGTAATAAAAGAAAGACTATAAATATGCTTAACACACATATACATACACACACTATTAGCAGTTTGTAAAATTTGATCCATTCTTTTTTATGGAGAACAGTATAATGGAAGAATTGATCTAATTATATTTTTAAATGTTTGGTAGCATTATGTGTTGAAGACATCTGGGTCTGGAGATTTCATTGGAAAATTTGAAATTATGAATCCACTCTTATTAATAGAGAACTATCCAAATTATTTTATGTTGCTTGAGTTGTGTGAGCTGGAAGTTTGTGTAGCACTGTTGTCCCATTCATCAATTTGCTTGAGCGGGTACCAGTAACGTCTCCATTGTGAGACTTGTTACTGTTTTTGGCATATTGAATAGCCACGGTAGCTTGCCAGGCTCTTCTGTGCGGGTGGGATACTCTCAGTAGCTTGCCAGGCTCTCTGAGAGGGATGGAGGGATCGAACTCGGGTTGGCCGTGTGCAAGGCAAACGCCCTACCCGCTGTACTATCACTCCACAGCATTTTGAGGAATTTGTTTATTTTTAAAATATGTAAAATTTATATGAAATTATTTGTATTGTTTCCTTATTCTCCGTTTGGTATATGCCAGTTTGTAGTAACTCCTATGTTTATTTCTGATAATGATGCTTTGTCTTTTAACTGTCAATCTTACTACAAGGCTGTCAGTTTTTGTCAACATTTGTAGTGCTCATTCCAAAGATTGCAGCAATTTTATTCTGTTTTTCATTTTAAATGTTATTGAAATTTCTTTATTTTTCCTTTTGCATGCTTTGGATTTATTTTGTAAAGTTATTGAAGTCAGTGCTTATTTTATTGATTTGGGACTGTTCTTTCCAATTTATGTATTTAATGCTATACATTTTCCTCTCAGCTCTATTTTTACTGTGTTTCTCAAACTTTGGTCTGTTAACTTTTTCTTGTCATTAGTTAGATGTATTTAATTGTTTCCCTTGATTTTTTTTTTTCTGATCCTTAAGATTATTAAGAAATATTAGCTTTCTTCGCCCTTGGAGAAGCCTGTGTTCTTTTTTGAGCGCATTTCCCTCTCTCTCTCTCTCTCTCTCTCTCTCTCTCTCTCTCTCTCTCTCTCTCCCCCTCCACACCTTCAAAAACTCTCCAAATGAAATCTGTTTTACTTCAAAGGAAAAAAAAGAATTATTAAGAAAAGAATTATTAAGAAGAGTGCCATTCAGTTTCTAAGTGCTCAGATTTATTTGTTATCTTTCAGTTACTGATTACTAATTTAATTTTACCCTGATTGGAGAATTCTGTGTTTTTTGTATTTTCAATGAAATATTTTTCTTATTCCCTAATACACACACACACACATCTTGATATATGTTCAATGGGCACTTAAAAAATAATGTGTATTCTACTGTTTGTGGGAAGTGTTCCTTAAATATCAGTTATTTGAGAGCATTGAGTTGTCTTACATTCTCCCTCCACCTCCCTCCTTTTCCCTCCCTCCCCTCCTGCTCATTCCTCCCTCCTTTCTTCTCCTTCCTCCCTTTTTGCTTCCCCTTCCTTCTTCCCTCCTTCCTTCTTCCTCCTCCCTCCTTATTCCTCCCTCCCATCTTTAGTTCCTTCTCCCCCCCCCCCTTACTTTTCTCCTCTTTTTCCTTCATCTTTCCCTGCTTAATAGTTCCTGGGTGAGATTTACTTTTTAATTTTTTTTCAAATATGTTCATGAATTTGTGCTGACGTATTTTTTTGTGATGGCTCCTTTAAATATTTGTCATATTATTCTAAAATCTTTGTGATATTGGGATGGTCTCTGTTGTCTATTTTTGACTCAGTCTAATTTTTCCTTTTCTTTAAAAATTTTCCACTCACTTAAAAAATTTTTAAATTTTATTTTCATAAAGTCGTTCACAGTAAGTGTTTACATTCAACATTTCAACACCAATGCCACCACCATTACACCATCCTACCACCATTATTTTGAATTTTCTCATCACCACGCAAGCCTGCCCCATAGGCAGATGCTAAATAATTTATTTTGTATTGCTTGTTATGAATAGTCTGAGATGTCGTGTGGCTGTGTGCTCCTAGAATTCTAAAACTTTTAAAAATATTTGGGGTCCGGAGGCATCTCTGCAGCGTGCTGCTTTCTTCCAAGATTCATTTGTGAGTCTCTGAATCATGGCTGTTAATGTGCTTAAATGGCACCCAGAGGCAGTTCTTGGGCATGACTGCCAGGGAACTTGAAGGACAGAGAGAAGTGGGGAGGTCGCCCATCCCCAACTCTGTGAAGCTTGGAGTTTTCAGTCACTAATCCTGCATACTTGGGTTTATCAGCGAACTCTCTCATGCATGGAGGGCTCAGATGAGACTGTGAAGGTAGGCTGTGAGCATGGTGGTGGTTGGGTTCTGGAGGTTTGTGGCTGCCAGGGTTCATTTGGGCAGGCAGAGGTGCCCGAGTGAAATCAGCCTGGCACAGGGTGGGGAGACATCTTTGTGGCATGCTCCGCTCTTCCGAGATTCATTTGTGAGTCTCTGAATCATGGCCATTAATACCCTTAAATGGCCTGATTTTGATCTCTTTCAAGATTTATGGATCTCTGCAGGAAAGCCAACAAATGAGATTGTATAGCTGAGCCAGAGGTGGTTTGTGGACGTGACTCTCACATATCTAACTTTTGACTGTTTAATTTCTTGGGAAACTTGGTCCCAAGTTGTTGGGGTCCAGCCAGAGGCAGAGCAGCAATTTTGGGGTATCAGAAAGTCTGAAGGCACTATCAGGCTGCTGATGCATGCACCCCGCAGGTACAGGTTGACCTGCTAGGCAGCACCTTATCCTCTCCCCTCAGTTTTTAGCCTAAACTAAAACATATGATCTTGACTGAAATGTTGTCTTTCCCTGCCCAAACTCTTGAGTTGATGGCTGACTTTGAATAGATTGCAGTGAGGGAACTGTACTGCTGTATACAAACCCCTGACCCAGAAGCAAGTCCTCTATGAATGGTTTAGCACCTGGTTCCCCATGAGTGTGTGTGTGTGTGTGTGTGTGTGTGTGTGTGTGTGTGTGTGTGTGAAGGATGAGGGGGATGCCACCTTTCTGGTTGCATGACTGAAAAGTTTGACTCGGACACATACATTTTTTATATTATAAGACATGGAGCTTTATTTAAACTTTTAGCTGATTCCTGTTGATAGCATTATAGTACGATGGGAGGAGGTGACTACCATGTTATCCTATCAGAGATAAAACATTCTAAACTGCCATCTGGTCTTAATGATACCTGAGAAAGGGGTTTCTTGGGCCTGCTCAATTGATCTGAGAATTTAAGTCCTGAGTGGTTTCCAGGAACACATTAGGGAGAGTGACTGTTGGGGAACAGTTATCCCCAACATGCCCAGACACATTGCATAGCGGGTCAGGGCAGGAGCCTGGCTGTGGGATGAAGGAGGACAAGTGCCTGAAGAAACCCCTCTAGGAGCAGTTGATCACAGCTCACTTAGTTGCCAAATACGCACATTTTTATAGAGTTTTTGCTTACAGAAGGTCCAATCTCATAAAGTTTAACACTATGGGCCTATCACCTTTTCCTCTCTGCTTTGCCCCCAGTCTAGTCCCTTTCAAGGCTATATATTGTGGTTAGGATGACTTTCTTAAGGTGTATGTCATGGTTTCTGCATTTTTAGGTGTATGTAACTAGGGGGTCGAGTGAGGCTCAAGGCCGAACACATGATGCAGGTGCCCTGTTTTGCTAACTTTGCCCAGTTATTCCCTCTTGCGAGGTTTCACTCCAGGGCTATTTTGCAAGGTCGGGATTTTTAGGTGACTAATTACTAATAGACAACAGTGAGAGTCCTCCCTATCCCTTTCTCTTCTGATCTACCACTCCAGCATGGAGGCTGTTGTCAGAGGACTCATTAATTGTCACATGCTGGTAGCTGTCCAGATTTCTCCTGTATTTCTCTCTGCCATTATGAGATAGAGGGGGTTGTAATGATTCCATGAAAATTCCTAGCTCTGTTTGGTCATCTCTTACTGCCCAGAAGGAGGATGGGATGATACGCTATAGTCTGTATTGAGTATATGTCTAGACATGCTACTAAACTTTTGCTGGTTGTGGGGCCGGTATTTGGGATGTTTGGCTAAGCTAACTGTTTTCCTGTTTTTGTATATACGGTCTGGGGAGTTTTAGTTACACTTGGTGGGAAGAATAGGGAAAAGTAAGGATACTCCATTTTCTGTAGTAAGCAAAAGTCTACATACCATTTTTTAAATAAAAATAATTCTTTTTTCTTTTTTGCAGGAGAGGGGCACACACAGCTGTATTCAGAGCTTACTCCTGGCTCTGTGCTCAGTAATCACTCTTGGTAGTGATCCAGGGAACAAACCTTGTTCCAGGGACCAAACCTAGGTAGTTGCATTCAGGGCAAGTGTGCCTTACTTGCTGTATTGTCTCTTTGACTCAATTATTAAAATACGTATTTGGAAGAAGAATTTTTGTTAGTAGTCAGTAAAAAACAGCTTCTATATCTATTGCAGTTTTCTTTTCCTTCTGGACAGTGGACTGTGAATGTGTATGCTTATGGGCTAATTCCTTAAAGAATGTCAAAACGTTAAAGAAACTTGCTATTGATTTGATTCAGCAGTAAATAACTGAAGCAGAAAGCAGAGTGAGATCTTTGTCTTTAATCTGTAATATTCCCATTAAAAAGCTTGTGCTTGCTAAACGCCTATAGATCCTAGTTATTAATGAATCAGATGGAGGTCACGAGAAGTCAGCCAGGAAGTTAATAGGATCATACTTTGGTTGGTAGCAGCTAACTTAGCTAAAGAATATAGAAGAAAGATCTTTTAATTTCTGCATGACTTTTTCTTTGTGAACTCTGAGATCTCTCTTGACCTGACTGTCCTAAATACTTATGTGTGTCTGGCTTAATTAATCTTCACTCTGCTTTCTGGGAAATACACTTCATAACTTATGTGGATGGTTAATGTTCTCGAGGACACATATTCAATATAACAGAAAAACCAAGATTCACCTTTTTAAGAGTACTGGAGAAGTCTTTAATCTATAAAGTGATTATGCATTGGTTACAGAGGGGGTCGGGGGTATTCTGAAGAATTCCCAGTTCCTGGAAAAGATAGAGCAGTGGCTTCACAGTTCATTCCACTGGGCACCTACCACGCTATTGGCATCTTTGCTGGGAAGGCAGCAAGGCTTCTTTTTATTTGGGGTCTTTTGTTTTATATCCAGCTCAGTACTAAGAGGGCTACTCCTGGCTCAGAGCTTGGAACTCTCCTGGAAACGTAGTCATTTCCAAGTGAATTTAGAGCTCTTGAATCCAGAGCTTATCCTCCAGTCCTTTGTGCGATCTCCCAGTCCAGTAACTGATAGTCCAGCCAATGAAATAGTTTTACAGTAGACACATCTGGTTTTCATTTGGACTGGTGGATAAGTTAATGATTTAAATGGAATGACTATGTTGACTAAGTGATCAACCTCCAGTAGCAAAGAAAAAACAATATATCTCAATGTAAGTTAAGAGAAATGGAGAGGTCAGATCTGGTAAATTAATTCTGGATAGATGATCTTCATGACTTGGTTTAAAACTTATTAAACCTTAAGTGTAAAATTTGTCATGTTGTATTTTTGCTTGTTTTTTTTTTTCTAATTCAACATTAGTATTTGGCTGGATTTAGAGTTAAAATTTCAGCATGCATCTCTTAATTATGACAAAAGTCCTATATGGTTAAGAAAGAAAATTCAAATAGTGAGGAAAATGTCACAGAAGAATTCCTACAAAACAACAAAAGTAGGTAAACCAATGGAAAATTGAAAAAAGACTTTAATAGGTCCTTCTCAAAAATATTCAAAAGGTGTTTAAATATGTTAAAGTTCTAAATTTTCTTAGTCATCTGGAAATATACATTAAGCTGCATACCCCGCAAGAGAGGCAAAATAAAGAATATAAGTGCTGGTTAAGATGGAAAACAACCAGAACTCTTACACACTTGCCAGATGCTTTTGTCCTCTTGCAGTCAAGGGTACAGGGCAAGTCAGTCTCAAATCTGTCAAAAAATTGCTTTTTTCTTGGGTCCTTTCTAACTGGGAGATTTTATTGGAATTGGGAAAGATTTTTAAGTGGTGATGAAAATTATTCTAGCATTAATTTTCAATCCTCCATTCTGACATTTTTCAACTGTAAATATGTCCCCAAACACACAATTAAAGGTTCCAAGATGTTTAACAAGAAAAAATCTTGATACCACAGAAAAGGGCATCTCACCATATCATTACTTCATAATTAATCTCTTGGCCTTCTTGGTACTTGTTGCTCTGCAGCAAGGATGCTTTTCAGGAAATGTTCCATATTGGTGAAGAGGAGAAGATCTTTGTATTTTTTAATGTACTGTAGAGAAAGTAAAGATTGGAGTTAGTATCATTCATTTAATGCTATGATTCAAGTAATTTTGGATCTCAGCTAAAACGTGAGGGTAAAACCTACAATTCTACTTCTTAGTATAAAATAAAATCTATTCATAATAGCTATTGGCAGACTTCAACAACTAGCTCTGTTGTTGGGCACATTGTTTAAAAACTCCTTAACCTCAATTTTCTCATTAGTGAATTAGGAAGAAGGCTAGAATCTATCTTATAGTTGAGCCACGTGGAAAGATTCAATGAGGCAATGCATGTAACTATCTTGACAGAACATATGGCATATGGCTAGTGTATAGTAAAAGCTTGCTTTTATCTGCTTTACAGTTATAGTAGGTCAAATGCTTAATTTTAATTTTTTGGGGAACTGTACAAATAAAATGTTGCTCAGGGGCTACTATGGTAAGGGATCATCCTTGGCAATGCTCAGAGGGATCATTTGCAGTGCTAGGATTGATCTGGGACCAGTCAAATGCAAGGCAAATTCCTTTGCCTTTGTACTATCTCTCTGGCACCTGGAATATTTCAGTGTTTGTCATTATGCACATATAAATCTTTTCATTGGCATAGTAAAAGACATTGACAGGGTACCACTATAAGATGGGAACCCAGAATACACCAAGAAACAAAAAACTCTGCCCTCATGAGTTTTAGTAGGGGAACAGGAAGAATGTTAGAAAGTGATATAGGTAAAGGTAAAGGCCCTCCCGTTGATCGTCGATTTGCTCGAGCGGGCCCAGTAACGTCTCCATTGGAGACTTTGTTGTTACTGTGTCTGGCATATCGAATACTCTCGGTAGCTTGCCGGGCTCTCCGAGAGGGGCGGAGGAATCGAACTCGGGTTGGCCGCTTGTAAGGTGAACGCCCTACCGCTGTGCTATAGCTCCAGCCCAAAGTGATATAGAACAAAGCGAAGTAAGGGAGACCTGATAACAAGGTTAAGAAGGTTGCAAATTAAGGCAGGCTCTCATGGTAGGCTTCACTGAGAAAGCAGCATTTGAACATAAAGGAGGTTCTGGGAATTGGTCATGTGTGTTTTAGAGTTTGAGTCTCAACCTCAACATTATTAATGTTTTGGATAGATAACCTTTGGTTGTAGAGACTGTTCTATGTTTTACAGGTTGTTTATCAGTTTCCCTAGCCTCTAAACATTGAGAGTAGCCTCTGGCTCCCATTAACCAGTATATTAAAGCAC